CAGCAACAACAACAACAACAACAACATACCCAATATATTCCCACATGTAGGGTCTGGGGAGGGTAGCGTGTACGCAAACCTTACCCCTACCTAGTGCAGGTAGAGAGGCTGTTTCCAATAGACCCTCGGCTCAGAAAGACAGCGATAACACAACGATGGTTGGATGTTTGTGGGGTGAAGGGGGAGAACTCTTTCATTTTCTTTCAATTATAGGTAAGAACAGTAAACAAACTATGGAAGATAAAAAGAAACAAAAATGGATCAACATAGATTGTATTATATGAAGGAAATCACTTTCTATAAAGAAAAAATAAATGATCCATACATTAGTCTTTAAGATACAAGTGGTGGTAGAATGCAGTTGCCAACTCTTTAAATTATAAATCATATTGCACACAACTAGTATTAACTCTATACATGTTGCTTGACCCATGAAAACTATTAACAATGGATTGAGACTATCCCCTCCCAGTTAACAATCCCAGCAAATCTTCACAAGTAAAAGAGGCACTCCTGCTAAGAATTACAGCAAATATTATAAATAGAAGAAAATTACAAAAGATTTTTTTCTAACAATAACAACAAAAAGAAAACAAGGATACTCAGCATATTGCAACACAGCAAGAGAAAGAAAAATTAGAGCAATATCGTCTATGTGAACTTTTCAGGAAAACATACCAAATCTCCAATTTCTAATTATAAGAATCCGAAGATGGAACAAAATGAAGTTATTGTTTCTGATTGACATTGTACAGAAGAAATCCTGGTGCTTACTGCATAGCCGAACTAAAATGAAAGAACAGTGTGAAGCTATATCTGTAGTCTTAACTGATTACTGCATGTGAAGTGAACCAAGACATTCTAGTATGCTGAATTAGCTCCTCTAGAATATGAATGTAGAGAGTGGCCAGCCAACCAACTCCAGGATCCTGATACCTGGAGAGGTGTTGATTCATGCCAAACATATTTGCTAGTTGAAGATGATTTTCAATAATAACTGTGATGAATAAGACATTCATTTTGCCTTTCAAGAGAAACTGAGAAACACAGAGGTATCTGTTCATCAAAGACTTGCCATTCGATCACCCTAGCGATTTTAAGGTTAAAGGACGATTTCACAGACCACCCAAGAATTCACATTGTTATGCCAATTAAAATAAACAATGTGTTCTGTTAGAAACTTAAGTGTATCTTGACATCAAGATATGAGGGTTCTTAATATAGAGAATAAATCAGTATCACAGAAAGTGTACTAGTACGTAGAGCAAAGGGAATAATCTAGTTTGGCCCGGTAATTGATCAATGGCTTTCCAATTTCTTCGCTTCTCGTCTCAGATCCTGACCATCTCTAGAAAGGAAAGAGGACTCTTCTCTTTTCTTTCATAAGTTTGACTTAAACAAAGCTTCCTTTCTTTTCTTGCAAAAGTTCTACTTAAACACAGTTTTAGAAAGAGTAGGATTCTGCTTCCAAGATTTACTTTTTCTCTAGCAACTTTTTTGTCAAATTAAATCCTAAACTAAATATACCGCGCTCGCTCCAAAAATCTCGAAGTCTAAATTATATGATCTTATTCAGAAAATGAGTCACAAAATGAGCATCCTGACTAAATGAATGCTGGTCCTATCTCCTTTCACAAGTCAGAGAATCGGATGGAATAAATAGAAAAGATATGTGTTCATCAAAGAGTACGAAATGATACAGGAATGCAAAGGAATATTTAGTAATGCAGCATCAATGACATCCCCTTATAGCAATCATGATTAAGAATGCAGTTGATTATGCCTGAAGAGAAATCCAATATTAGAACGGTACTTGCCTAAAGTTATTATTAATGTATGTCAAACTGGATTCAATTACATGAGCGCATTAAATATACAAGAGGCCACCTTCAAGCTTGGGTGTAAATTTTAATAGGAACTAGGTTTAGAGGAAGGAATGGAATTCAATACAAAAGAATGAAATTCTGATTCATGAATGGGCACCAAATGGAAATTGTATCTCGCAAAGCACTCGGTGAGCCATCTAGTTACACAAGAAACATCAACTCTTTTATCTTCACCAGTGCCGGTTGAATGAGACAACAAAATAAAATACGCAACACATGTGCTTACGTGTTGAAGTGCAGCTTTTTTTCTTGACTTATCATCCATAAACTGTAATCCAATGCAAAAAAGTGCTAGAATATATTCCCAACTGGTTCTTCTCTTGGTCTCATCAGCTCCTATATCCAAAGAAAAAAAAGCAATTCACAGGTTGGTATTTCATATTAATAAAAGCTGACCTTTATTAAGGCAAAGCACGATTTACTACATAACAGCTGGATACCATAGAGGTATAGCCAGGAAGCAGTAGAATACAAGTTTATTTTCATGGTTGAATGTAAGAACTTTCTAGTTCTTGAAGATTCAACCAACTGAAAAGTAGATCTATGTTAACACTCTACCTGTATAACAAATCTTTTAACTGCTTCATAATTCATAAACTTGTACAAGTAATTCAAAAAGTCATTTAGCAAAGAGTGTACTTACACTCAAAGGTTGCCCAGCGAGATGGAGGCACAATAGTACGATCTTGTTTTGCCTCTGAGGCATAGAGCAAAGTGAAGAGATCCTTTGTATCATCCTTTTTCTTCACAGACGGGTTACTGATGAGACTGTTTTTTGGAGGTAAATTAAGAATTTCATCCATCGTGTCCAAAGAAACCTGAGAAAATACGAGTATTTCTTAAGATAACGTTTTTCTGAGCCATGCTTGACAATGAAAAGGTCCAGGAAAAAAATGTAGTTTACCAAGAAAACTTAGTATTAGCAAATGCATTTGGCTATACGACTTGCCAAAGAGTATAGCACATAATGAAGAGATTGTTAACCGAATTATAAAAGATAAATAAGTAGGCAAAGGCATACTCCTGGTAGTTAAAACCTAAAAAGAAATTTGCTTCCACGGAAAAAACATGTAAACAAAGTACAATATCTGCAGTACCCCACGAGATCTTGTAGTTGAAGGAACTTGTGGCGGTTGTTCATTAAAAACTTCTTCCTCCAAGGAATATTTTCTTGCTTTCCTTGGAATATCAGCTGTTGCTCCAACTTCGCTTGTTTCAGCAACCATATTAGATGGGGCTGGTTGAGAGGCATATCTAGAAGCCCATTTTTTCTCCTGATACCTGGAATCAGAATGAAATATGTAAATGGAACAGTCATGTAGCTTTCATTGATAAAAACATGTGAGTGCATAACATAAGTTTTTGTGCAGAATTACTTGGTCCGAATAAATTTCGCAATGTTGCTTCTATCTGTGCTTGCTGGTAGATCTGCCTCCCAATAATTGTTCGACTTCTCATTACCTACACCTGCACATTAAAACATGGACCAATAATTATCCTTGTTAGACTCCTAAATATCTTCAGAAGTATAAGAAATTTAAGGGGACAAGATAACCAGAATATCAAAGGCAAATGGCAGTATGGCACATAGCAGGGCTCTACTTGGAATGAAGAAAAACATTTACTCCATGATTTTTACCGAGCTTCTTGTATCTTGTTCTATAAGCTTCTTAGGACAAGTTTTCAACTGGAGAACACTCTCAATACTAGGGGGGAAAAAATAGTAGTTCGCCCACCCCTACCCCAAGCACACAACAAAAAGAGGACCTCCTTTGCGAAGAATTTCTTGTTCTTGTCCACTTTCGTGATGGTATTTGACTGAGAACAAAATTATGGATGTTACAGTTCAACTTATATATCATAGCGGTGACAGTTGAAATAGTGTAACATTGATCGCTGAATAGTTAGATTGAATAAAGCAATGAATTTCTTGTCAAAATTGTATAACATATGAATTCCATTAATATTTCCACACATCCCAAAATAGATAAAATGACATGTAAATTAGGAAGAGGGAGTTTCTGTTTTCCCAATTATTCAGACTAGTTTTTCCTTTTTTTCCTAAGAACCACCTCAATTAGGCTTCCTTGTCCACTGAAAAATTAATTGTGGAATGTTTTCAATATGTTCACACAAAAGTGGAGGATGAGGAACAAAGTTTCACTCAGAATTTCACGAAAGTTTTTCAACAACAGATGTACAAAAACAACTAGCCTTTACTACTATTCCTCATTCCCACTTCCACCGTCCTTTTCTCCTCCACAGACAAAAGCCTGCCCAAAGTCCACATTCTGAGATGTCAATAACTCTGACCTAGTTAGTAATTGAATGAAGATTAGTAGCCTTCTGCTAACTATGAAATGCCATAAGGACGAGAGCTGTATAGCATACTCAAAGGATCATGAAATGTTTCTATTCGGTTGGGGAAGTAGAGGAGCGACTACGTTCATTTTGATAATAAAGTAGTGACAATCTTTAATACCTAAAGGTTTTTTATACATGTGGCATGTGTGGCATGCACGGAAGAGAGAGAGAGAGAGAGAGAGAGAGAGAGAGAGAGAGAGAGAGGTACATTGCATGAAAGCAACCTGCTCCGGCAGCCAAGTATCCAAAGTTGTCGACCTTACCTATCACAAGCAAGAGACATGATAGCCATTAGCAAAGAAGATTAAGCATTCAAGTCTATATCCCAAAAGTCTGTGTGTGCTTTCTTTGATGTATTCAGAAAAAGCTGAGCGACCTTCTGGAACTGGACTCAACTCCATGATTGCATATATACAAATAAAAGGGTAAAGGCATAAACTGAGAACTTCAGGGATAGAATGTCAAGGACAGTGCCATCTTTATCTTTTCTATATTTACTTGGACAATTCCAACGTAATCATTAGAAATTCTTTAATTCAGTGAAGTTGAGGTATGTTTTTATGCAGCAGTAAGATGGAAATTTTCAGGAACAGAACACTTGTTTGTTGTAGCAGTGTCATGTATATATTGCTTTTGTTGTTTGAGAAAATCACGACAGAAGACAATGTTTATCGGATGACAAGAATGGTTTTCCCCTATTTTCATTCAAAAAGTTCTCCAGAAAAAGTTAAGGTTCAATGAAGAAAAACTGAAGTCAACAACATATACGCAGCATCTCATCTAGATGACCCAATCTCCATTTTCCTGAACCACAGATTTTTTTTTTCTCCTAAATCAATCTGATTGGTTTGCACTGTTCCTAAAGTAGACAAAAAACAAATGGATATTTTGCCAACTATTATTTTACGTAGACTGGAAAAGTGACGTAGTGGCAAGCAAGTTCGAGAAATATTTTACATTCAGTTCCGAGACTATAACCCTTGCATAGTCATTAGCTTTATGTTTAAATTTCAAGAGGAGTCCGGTGTAAGGGTTTACTAAAATTCACTGATAGCATGAAACATAAAAATTTCCACGAAGAAAGAATCAGTGATAAATTTAGTTGACCTGAAGCCTTAACATTTAAAAGCATAAACTTTTTTTCTCTGTACCCAATTAAAGTGATCAAAAGCTCATAGTGTGTAGGCCTTCCCTCTTCAGATTTCTTTCCAAGGGCAGGAACACTAAAACTAGAAACGAATATCTTACAGAAACCGGCTACTTTATTAAAAAGATAGCGTTGAATATTATTTCACTAAAGGAAAAAAAGAACTTGGGAGAAAAAGCAGTTCATTTCATACTGATCGCTTCATATATTTCACTAGAGTGAACATAGGGAATAATTGAATAAGAAAATAAGAAAATTCAGAAAACAACAGTAGAAATAGACCTGCTACGACTTCTTACTTATGAAGGTATTACAAATTTCAGAGACAGCGGGAAAAAGGTGTTTGAAGTCATCAGAAAGTCATAATCTTTGCTTCTCCCCCTTGTAGATAAGTAATGAGACAATAGAATTACCTTAGCAGGGAAAGCCATTTCCACTAATAGATAGTCCCCAAGAATGTTAATAGATAATAGCCCTTTATGCAACAGAAGTTAATTTATGCTTCACCATCTGAGTCTTCCCATCTTAACCTACATTTAGTGCTGCATAAGGCCTATAGTTCACTTTACTCACTTAGTATTCAGGTGGCCGTTATCAAATTCCACGACAACCCTTCAAATACATCCTTAAACCACTTAACTAAGTTATTCGGAACAAACTATGTCTCATTCAGATTGTTTTGCAAAAACTCAATAGCACCCAGAATCGAAACTGTGTTTCACCTGTTACAGATAGTCTTTTAGTGTTGAATTTGTAATGCTATTAAATAAAGGATGGATGCATTTGATAGTCAAACAGTAAAACTTAAAACCAAAAAACATGTCGAGTAATTTTGCTCATTTATACGCATTACTAAGAACTATAGTTAATGATAACTAAAGTGTATACCTTTGAGATATGCACCCCAAGACTCCGATGAATTCCTGAACATTGCAGGCAGATGAATATCCCAAGGTTGATGCTCGCCCACCTTGGGGCCCTGATACAAAATATCATAAACTATCAAAAAGTGATTAGACTAACATGTTGGATGAAAGGTGTTAGATATGTAGTCTTGTCCCACATTGGAATAGGAGTAGTATGTCTTGAGGGGGAGTGTCCTTGTATAGTATAGCTATAAATAAGGACCTCTTGTATACAATATCAATACATCATATTTTCTCCCGCGCCTTCTCACATGGTATCAGAGCTATCGTGAGAGATTTATCGCTGTGCATAAATTCCAGCGATTCCGGGAAGTAAAATCAGTCACCGGAACCCTTTTTTCCGGGACTTTTCATAGTTGTTTTGCGTCTGCTTTGTCTCGATCAGTGTTGTGCAAAAAATCCAACACTACCAAAAGAGTAGTCACTGTCCGGCGACCAAACCCTAGTGAAAATCTCCGGCGGTACTGTAGCTGTTCGAAGAAAATTTTCCGGCGAAGTTCCGACGTCGCATGGGCCACCTTCCAGCCATTTTTTGGCGACGACTCTTCAGGACAGATTGTTTCCCTTGCAATTCCGAGCCTACCCATCCAGGTTACACCAAATTCCGAGCACTTTTATATTTTTCCGGTGTGAATTTGAAAAAGTTCCTTCATAACAGTTGGGTCTTCATAACAGTATTTCTGGAGTGAACAGTGTTATGTTTTCCTGCTGTAAAAAAGTGTTTTCTCAGCGATTTCTTCAGTTTTCCCAAAAGAGTTACTAATTTTCACTATTTCAAGTTAACCCTACCACTATAAATTGTAGCGACATGGGAACCGATACTTCGAATAGTCGGATGGTTTCTTTAGTGGATTATTTTGAGTTTCTTCAGTACAAAGCAAGTAAGCAGACATCTTCTGAGATAGCTTCCGTTGTTCAAACAGGTAATAGCGTGACTTGTGTCTCTCAATCTTCATTGATTCAAGTGCATCGGATCATATTTCTGGTAACAAATCTCTTTTCACTACTATTTCGTATTCTCAATCTCTTCCAAGAGTCACAATGGCCAATGGGTCTCAAACCATGGCAACTGCAATAGGTCAAGCAAGCCCAATTCCTTCCTTACCTTTAGATTCAGTTCTTTATGTCCCTAATAGTCTTTTTAATCTCATAGCTGTTAGTCGCCTAGCCAAATCACTTAAATGTGCCGTTTTATTTCTTGATGACCATGTTTTTATACAGGAACGCAGTACAGGGCGGATCATTGGTACCGGGCGTGAATCAAATGGACTTTATTACCTTATCCTTTTATATCCTTAATCCTTGTGGGTCGGACTTCCTCAAAGTCCATCTCAAAATGGAGTCGTGCCCCTTGCACTTCTCCCCCAAGTATCTTCCAAGCGTGCCTCTGCACTTCACCTCTTATCGGTGTTCGCTCGGAAAGTGCCTCCGCACTTGCACCCTCTGGTGTCTAACTTTGTGGCGACCCACACTAGTCAACCACACCATGACCCTCACGGCCTTCATACGTCCGAAGCTCTTCCCTTAATGGTAAGCACATCAACGTGCTTAGACGTAGCTCACGCAGCTCAACAACTCGCGTAGCCCTTTCCTTGCCCTCATTGCCTTGGAAAGTTTAGTTCACTTCAGGACTCACAATTGGTATCAGAGCAACATGATTCTTTAACGATTCAAGAAGGAAGAACAAGCAAAGATGAGTTCCATGAAGTTTGAAATTGATAGATTCAGTCGACGCAACAACTTCAATATCTAGAAGATCCAGATAATGGCGTTACTGCGGAGGGAAGGTTCAATCCATGCTATTGACGGAAAGTATCCCAAGGATATATCAGCTCCCAACAAGGAGAAGATTGAAGGGGATGCATTGAGTGCAATCCGACTATCCCTTGCACCTAACGTGCTTTGTGAAGTGAGTACGGGTACCGAAGAGACGGCCAAACAGTTATGGGAAAAGCTAGAAGGGCTATACCATGACCGATCAGTGACAACAAGGATGTTGTTACAACGGCGTCTTCACACATTTAAGATGAGGTCAGGTACTTCGTTACAAGATCATTTAGATGCGTTCAATAAACTTTTCATGGACTTACAGATTGCAGGAATTAAAAAGGAGGAGGAGACGCTTGCATGTGCTTTGCTAGTTTCATTGACTTCAGGATATCGTGATATTGAGAATTCAATGATGTATAGCAAGGAGCCAATCAAGCTTGAGCAAGTGCGGCAGACACTTAACTCTAGTGATGTACGGAGGCACATTGAAGGAGATAGAGATGACCAGGCAAGTGGGCTCTTTGTGAGAGGCCGGACTAGCCAACAGGGAAAGAGCAAATCAAAGCACAGATCAAAGTCTCGTGTGAACAAGAAGAATACAGAGTGTTGGGGTTGTGGCAAGAAGGGGCACTTTTGAGGATTTCGTGCCATTTTTGATAATTATTTGTATTTATCCATGCATGTTTATTTGTTAAAATAATAAAAAATACAAAAATATGTCGCATTTGCATTTAGGATTTAATTCTACAATTATGAGTAATTAAGTTTGTTTTACAAGAATGAAAATTACAAAAATAGGCATCTTTTGCNCAACGATCAGGATGGTATTACTAATCTGAAGCAACATCTCTTTCAGCACTTCCAAACTAAGGATCTAGGCAGACTGAAGTATTTTCTAGGTATTGAGGTCGCTCAGTCTAGCTTAGGTATTGTTAGTATGTCTTAGACATTCTTGAGGAGACTGGAATGATGGGTTGCAGACCTATTGACTCTCCTATGGATCCGAATGCTAAGCTTCTGCCTGGACAGGGGAGCCTCTTAGAGACCCTACGAGATATAGGAGGTTGGTTGGAAAATTGAATTACCTCACAGTGACTAGACCTGACATTTCTTTTCCGGTGAGTGTTGTAAGTCAGTTTATGGATTCTCCCTGTGATAGTCACT